GATGTGACCTAGCCGGGTAACGAAACGTCTGCAAGGAAACAACCAAGCTCAGAGAACCCCAAGGACTCCACCCTGTCTTCTTTTGGAGGATGGGGACCCACTTCTCCTCTTCCCTTTGGCCAACTCTTCCTCCGCCAGCTGCAACCTCACCTGCCCAACTGGCCACTACGGTGCCAACTGTGTCGAGCTGTGCAATTGTCACGAGGACTCCTGCAACCCCTTCACCGGCATGTGCCACATGGGTAAGTACCTGGCCAACATTCTCCAACCCTTCCTGCCCCGGCTGGGGGGTCTGCGAGGGGTGGTCCACAAATTCAAGACGCGGCCACAACGGCCCAGTCAGAGCTCCCCCAAAACAGATGGCGTTGTCGCGGCCACCACCTTGCCTTTTCTGGCCATACCCTGCAAACCCTCTGCACTCCGGCTTTCAAGGGCCACCCTGTTACCTCGTGGCTCGTGGCTCCTTCCTCTGCACACTGACGGCTGTGAGACCTTTTTCCTCCAGAGGCCAATCAGCGGATGGGAGTCATTGGCGCCGGAGTTCTCCTGATCTTGCTGCTCAGCCTCCTGCTCTCGCTGTTGTCCTGCTGCTGCATTTGCCGCAAGAAGGACGAGGCCCAGGAGTAAGTACCGAGCGGGGAGCCTCTGTGGGGACTGGGAAGGGCAGCCGCGAAGAACCGGGTCTCCCGGAAGAGCAGGCCACAAGGGGCCCTGGCTGGCCTGGGGTGCCAGGCTGGGGGAGGCTCCCCCCCCCACTTTGGCTGCCCCCTGCTGTCCACTAGACGTGCCATGTGCCAGACTTAGGGCTGAGGACCTCATCTTTGCCGGTAAGGCAAGAGCAAGGGGTGTCCGGGGGGCAGCCCTTTGTTGACTCTGTATGGGAACGTGAGTGCCCAGAGGCAGCTGCTGAAAGGGGAAAATGTCCCTCTCCCCCCAGACTTTGCAGACCACACCGTGAGGCACGAAGAAATGGGACTCCCGATGCAAAGGGATGGAGCTGGAAGCT